TTAGAGCGTAACAGGAGCTACGCCCGTTTTTAGGTGCCCCGCCCACTTCACAGAGGCTCTGCCCTTTTGGAGAAACGACCCGGATCGACGAACCTGTGCCCGAACTGGCATATGATGGTCTCTTCCGCCACCCTTATCCTAAAACCAAGGAAAATTTGCTGCATTGTATTCGTATTTGTGAAGAATGAATGTGAAAAGAACGAAGTCGCAGAGAGGAATGAATACTCAACAATTCGAATTTGGAAGGAGGCGGAGTCATATCTGTGTGTACCTATCCTACAGTGATCAACCGGGGTATGCCTTGCTTTTCGATAGCAGTCTTACCACGAAATGGTCTCCAGTTTTCAGGTTCGACAGTTTCTAGAACATAAGTGAGCTTCTCAGGCTCTAAAACCGCCACGTTTTCTGAGAATGTGTGAACTTTGTGCTGCTAGCATTGGTGCGAGGCACTTTGCGGTAAATGGATATGGTAATCGTGTTCAGAAGGTCGAGACGAATCCCCAGCTGGTTTGAAATTTTGAGTATTTTCAATGCTTCATCAGAACTGACCGCTCCTCAACCGCTTGTAAGCTGGTAGCAAATTTTGTTTCCATATTTGCAATCAACACTCCGGGCTTCCAATATTTACTGGTCTTTCTTTAAAGTTCGGAATTGGGAATTTGAGGCATTTCTTGATCAGGGACATTCAGTTGGATTAGAAATTTATAGAGTTTTCGGCACTATTTAAGTATTACTACCCCAGTTTTGCGAAAACAGGCCGGATCTTGATCGACTTTTTTCTACGGGGGCAGATTTGGCTGAAAGTTGGGTTCTAGGGGTAATTCGACCTCCTGAACACGAATATCACATCCGCTCCTCCCGAAATGCCTGGCGCCCGCGCCACAGGCGCCAGTGATTTAGGGCATTTTGGCGCCGGCGCCTGTGGCGCGGGCGCCAGGCAGTTTCGGAGGAGCGGATGTGATATTCGTGTTCAGGAGGTCGAATTAACCCTAGAACCCACTTTCAGCCGAATTTGCCCCTGGAAAAACCTGAAAAAAATCTGAAAAAAGGAGATTATGATCCGTGCGTTTTCGGAAAATTGGGGTAGTAATAGTTGAACAGTGCCGAGTTTTATTATGCATTTCAGGATACTTCTGAGATGCTTCTCTGTGAGCAAGAGTAAGTCCCCAGCACTAACTCCACCAAAGCGAGAAGCTGATCAACAGCTTCAGTTTATATTGTTCCGATCAGTAGAGGAGGTTTCAAGAGGGAAGGAACGAGCCCACTCATGGGGTCCCACCACAGGTGGGGACCCCCTGCCCTGAGTGATTGCGGCGTTATCAACTATATAATCGCAAACGACTTCATGAAAGCCTGCAGTATTCGCGTCGACCAAAAGCAGCTACATCAGTTTAGGGACTGAGGCACTTTATGGAGGTTTCTAGGAACCGCTGCTCTGATACGGGAGGGCATCAGTAGTCCAGCTGTTTGGACGCCCCTACTGTTCCCGTTTTGTTGTTCACTACGCTACAGATCAGGCTGGTCGCCAAGAGCCCTCAAAGATGTGCCGGTCTGACGGAACCTGAAGGTGAGAGAGCTAGTGCCTGACGAAAATGCTCAGAGTGTCCCAATCCATGCGAAATAAGTTCTACATGGGGGACGCTGCATGAGCGAAGTGTCCCTTTTGGCTCCGTCTGTAAACCATGTCCGTTATCCACAGTTATTGAATCAAAACTGTAATTCTAAGAACAATGGTAGTCATGACTCCTTCTCAGTTCATTATTATTACTCGCAACGCCCATACTTATACCAGCGGTTCATATTATTAACTGCTCTTAATGAATATAGTGAATGAATTATGTGTGAACGCTGAAGATTCCGAAACCAGAATGCGAGTTTTGTGATTCCTACTTCCAAAAACACTCACCAGCGATATAAGGCAGAAGTAGAATGAGTCAAGAAATGACCAGCCGGACTCATAGAAAGTGAACACCCACGCCGCTACCGTCATGTAGCCGAAAAGACTGAGCAGAACTGTGAAGCGACGAGCGCCAGAAACCTAAAGAAAGGAAAGAAATGGACCTGGAGGACAAGGAGCTTATTCTGCCTTCATATATCGTTTTAGTACATTGTGGAGTCTAGAGGCAGTGGCCCGCGATTATCCTAGTAGAGGAAGCTCTATTTTCACTAATCGAAGTTGCTGGCGCCAGAGCTCTGCCGCGCTTTTTGGGCTCTTCCCCCCCCCGTTCGATTTCCACTTTTTCGTTTCCTTTTACCATGGGTATATAGCGATGGGGTCTCTGTCATTTGTGAGCTCTTTTGCCATGTCACCGTCTTTCTCGTACTTACTCAAGGCGCCTTGCGAGGGATTTTCCCTTCTTTTTCCGCTGCTAATTAGCTTGAAGGCAGTTGCACGATAAATCCCCGAAGACGACTCAGGATCATACTCCTGGCAGGACAGAAATCGCGTCGACTGGACAAGCGAATGCATAGCGGGGGGGGGGGCGGGGGGGGGGGGGGGGGGGGGGGGGCGTTTTCCCCGAGGAAGGTGCCCTTATAAGGGCCCTATCAAGCCACAACTTTACGTCCCAAACGCCCGCCACGCCGCCCGCCCACAAATGGACGACCGTTCCTGAGCCGTATTCATTCTTTGCTAAGGCAAATTATGAAGCGAGGAATTGACCACGCTTGCAACGGGCCGTGATGCTGAATGCATACATGGGCGCACATATGCAGCCGTATCTTCGGTAGCGGTGATTGGTAAGATGCCTACGGGAAACTCGTCCGAAATTGATTTACAAGCTACTGAGAACGGAGGCTTTTTCTTCGCAGGATTTTGATCGTTCCACTCCGTTCTTTCGCCATTTCCTCACTACACACGCAGCGCCGTACTAAGCATTATTAGGCTAAGTAGGAAACCATCGGTGTCAACTGGCCTTTAAGACCATGAACTTTCCTATTTGCAAGCCGCTAAACAAATGACAAACCGAGGATTTCATCTTTAGGGCATTCTTGTCGACTCGATACTAACGGAGTTCACTCACCTCTGCTAGCGGGTTGTCGTCACCAGGCCGTCCTAGGAAATCAGCAAGGAACTTCGCAACGTCAGCGATGGTAATAAGTGTGAGAGGAATTCTGAAAGAAACACTGAAATCAAAAAGGGAAAATCCTCTCCAATTTCGGTGCCCCTGATGAGACGTACAGGAGCCTGTCAGAAGCAAGTGAAAGGAAATCCACCCTTTGATCTAAACAAAAACTCAAAATTGGTCGAAAAAAACAAGCAAAATTACATACCCAAGGATCGCGTAGAACATGCACAGAATTTGTCCTTCGGGAGAGATTGGAATCAGATGACCATATCCTAAATCGGCACTTTTCAACTTTTCCTTCATAGTTGCTATGTGACAGGGGTCTGACCAGGATACTCATTCTCTATTTACTCTATGATTAACTCAAGACGGGTCGGAATAGAGTACAGAAGCGGATCCTTGAAAGGTGTCTGTCACACGAGCTTTGGCGTCTGTTTGCTTATGCGATCACTGACGAAGGTCAGAAAAGGATTGCATCAATATCAGCAAACCCACTACGGGCTTACCAGAGGGTCTGCATTGTAGGAAAAACAAAAGGTTCGATAAAACAACAATGGCTTTGGTTCAGAATAACTTTTTGAAAAAAAACAAACATTCATGTTCAATCAGCGAGCACATCCTGCGACTACACACTGCGGGATTGGAGGTTCAAGTATGGAATATAGATGCTAGTGGTCCTTGTGCAGGAAGGACAGCAAGAGACCGGCCCTTAGTAACACTCCAGCTCGGCCCAGACTGGTAGAGTAAAAAAAAAGTTTCTAGAGAGCAAGTGCTGATGTTCGGCGGGTCAAAACTGTTGACATATGCACAAACGGAAGACAGCTAGAAATACGAACTGATTCGAGACTGAAGGTCGTATTTTGTGCATTATTGTTCACATTACCAGTCGCGCCTTTTGAGCAGCTATTTAGAGTTGAAAACGATGGAGCACTTTCACTGGCACAAATCATATAATAAGGCTACATTCCTGGTTCACACCCTATCAGCGTACATTGCTGTGGGACTTTCATCTGGGGAGATCGCATCTTACTGATTTCTACCCTGCTCATTCGTTCGAATTTCACTGCAAAATCCCTAGTTTGCTATGTCTGTTTGCCTGTCTTCCGGAACCCAGCAGCTAATACGATTCTATAAGAGACTATAGAAGAGTGGAGTCGCCAACCTCATTAGCTAGTTTCAGACTAGTTGTGAAAAGGAAATTGTTTTGAAATAGACGACTGAGCAGATAGAGGAGCCATGATCACCCTATCCCCGCGACGCAATTCTTTGGCAGATGAACTCAAGACACTCTCATTTTGCTGCTAGTCTCACTAATGGATCGGGTTTTGTCTATTTCGTACTCGATCCCGTCCCTGCGGCCTGATCCTCGTAAACAGAGCTGTTCCCGCCAGCACGCGCTTACTTGTAGCGAGTACCCACCTATCTCGGTCATCAAGAAGTAGTAAGAAAAAAGAAAAAAAAAAAAAAAATAAAAAAAAAAAAAAAAAAAGCGTAACCGTCATGTTTCTGTCTGTTACTTCAAACGTGGGAAATGTGATATAGTGACAAGTGGCGTCGCATAACATGCCAACGCTCCAGAGGTCCAACGCCAGATTGCCTCTTGCTAGGACTATGCAGAGCTTTTCCACCTGATAACGATTGGCTACTAGCATCGCTCTGAGAAGAAACCTGAGGACAGCACTGACGTGCCATCCATGGCATCCGTAAGTGGCCACATCCAGACAGCCACGATCACATCACGTCGTATAAGGGAATCTCAAGACGGGCGAGGTCGTATTTTGTGACCACGGGGCGAGAGGGGGGGGGGTGTGCGTATCGTGCTGAGATAATTTTCCACTTGGTAGTTGATCTGTCTTTGATTCACGGGAGTTGGGGTCAGGTGGTTCGTTCATGTCTGGGAGAGGTGACCGTAATCTGAGGAGGGTATTAGGGATGGAAGGTTAGCATTCTACGCAAAATTTTTGCGCAGCGGCAGGGCCGCTGTCCTGGTTGAGTACGGTTCCCAAAAGAAATTTTCTGGGCACCATTATCCAGTAATCCACTTTACTTCTAAATTTGAAACTGCAGACTTTCCTACTTTCCCTCATTTTTTTGATCATTTTCGAATTTCAGAGGACCGAGATGAGAACGTGAGAGCCAACAAAGACCAGCACCACGGTGACGTTGTACCCGATTTACGCTGCCGAAAAAGTCATGGATGTGCTGTTTTTCAGGTTCTTGTTAGACTTCATTTAGTTGCTGACCTGTTAGTTATGTAGTGCCATTATTTCCAGGGTTCATGCGGAACGACAAAGCCCTCTGCAGCAGTTGTGCGAAGACGCCGAAGAAACAAGGATAACAACGATGATCCATAGATTTCTTTCTACTCATTACAAAGCAACAGTTTTACTGAGTGAATGTAAAATAAAGAGCGAGCCAAAGGGTGTTCACAGCGCTAGAGCCGCCTTAGACCCCGCGGCTAGAGCTTTTCAACTACGGGGTGGCTTGAAAGTATGGGTGCCCTATCCCCTTTGGAAAATGCGCTTCTTTCTGACGTATCCTCCACTGGAAATACTGCTGGAACCTAAAAAGGGGGTTGTTCAGTTCGGGGTGCGCTTTTTACAAACGGTGAAAAGGCGAGATTCCTCTATGTTATCTAATAGGCCATGCGGTCGTTGCAGCCATGTCCCCGATGGTTGATGAAACTATCGCTTAGTGCTGGCACCTGACAAAAATAAGGCCCCATTTACGTCTGCTCTCATCTTGATTCCAGCAGTTGCTCTGGAACCCTCCGCTTTGCAGGCGGTCAAAATTGTAAGTGGTTCACAGCGCATAGGCTTAAAAGGAAGCAGCTTACAGAGAATTCTTTTCCACCCTTTTTTTTCTTTCCTGGAGGCGCGCAGCGAAAATGAAGCTCACTTTTCGAGTCGTTGTATGAGCCCCTACAATGCAAATGACCTTTTTCAAAAGCCGCACAAGGCCCTGATTGACCTCCCTTGTAAGTAACAAATTTTGCTTAGAAACATACTGGGGTTTCCGCGTGCCACGACAGCACGGAAATCAAAGCGACGCGTCGTTGAATTAAAGCGCGCCGCCAGCGTAGTCAATTCCAAATCGGTTCAGACGATGTGTTCAGGCGCTGTTCGGAGACGGAGGGGAGTGTGCACTTTCACTGCTCCACTGGTTCCGGTTTTATGGTACACTTGTAAAAACCTTGAAACTCTTGTGAGGGCAGGGCACAGCATTCGATGGGGATTTTGGTCAGGCCTGTACGACCCCCCCCCTTTTTGGGGGTTCGGTACGACCCCCCCCCCCCCTTTTTAGTGTTGACCGTCAACATAATCTCGGCTGCAAATTTAGATATAAACAATTAATAAAAATACGATACTAAACAGTCCTACCTAAATTGACTGATTTACTTTATGTACCAGGCTCGCAGAAGCGTATTGTGATCAAAAACTCGACATGAAGTAGGAGCATACACACGAGGCATAAAATGCGAGTTAAATGCGATATGATTAAACCAAAATAACAAAAAGCGGTAATAAAAGCAGAAAAAGAAAACAAAAAAAGAAATACCAAAATGCAATTAACCGAGATGTGGAGTACGGTAGCAGAGATGCGTACGTAACTGCAGCCGTGACTGGAGCAAAACGGCTATTAGCCATGGAGCGAGAATTTTCAGCAAAGTAGGGTGTCTTTGAAGGACCATAACTTCCTCAAAAGCGGACCTGTGGGGAAGAGGAGAGCGTATTGGTAAATTAGAAGGTTTGGTCTTCCTGAAAGTACTAAAATGTTTATGAAGGTCGCGAAAATCACAGAGAAAGCTGCCATAGGGATTCGTTGGGGAGTGAAGGGTTGAAGTTCAAGTTGAACAGGTTTGAATCAATATATTTTTTTGTAACTCAACATTTCACAAATCTGAGAACGGATCCGAGCTTCTCAAGATTTTCTCTTTCTAAAAACCTATTGAACTGTTCCTGAAGCTCTCGGGATTCATGAGATGCGTCGGCGATGGGGATTTCTTAGGGAGCACTCCCAGCGCGAAAACCCGTTTCCTGTGCACCGTTTCAAGTGAGCGTGTTCGAATAGCCAGGAACGCATGTAGAACGTATCCTGTGGTGGAGCAGGAGCAGGATATGAGGTGGTTCGTTAGCGCCGATCACGCCTGCACTTTGTACTGGCGCGGCGCACTTGAGAGTCACCGCGCAGAAGTGATGGGATGGTGCAACTTGTGCATAATGTGTGTCCACACGCGCAAATGTGTCTGTAGGATTCAGGGAGGTCCATGGCGAACCTGTGCACGTTGTCTAGCGGTGTTTTGTTTTCCGCTGCGGATGATTGGTAGCGTGTCCGTGTCGACGTGGCCGGGCCCGCCAGATCTCGTGCTGGCCGATAGTTGACTGATCTGCCGATAAAGGAGACGCAGTGGCTGAAAACGTCTGGAGTACGCAAACGATAGTGGTAGTCCTGTCGCTTGTCAGAAAAAAAAAAAACAGGTTGGCTCAGCGCCAAGCGTGATCGCGGACACGCCCCATCATCCGCAGCAAACCAGAGTATGAGTTGTAGTGTTTAATCACTTACGAGATGTTGTCGACTTATTAATAATTCCAATTATTTCGGATTAGTTTGATGGATGAAAGTTGTTGTACTCATTTTTTAACCATATCGAGCGAGTATCTCTAGCGAAGCAACGTTCCGCTACAGCAGGATCTCCCACACTGACCGCTTTGCGCTGGGCTCGATATGGCTACACGCAGCTCATTAGCGACAGCCCCTCTCCTGCGGCCAATAGCGACCCCCCTATGGGATCCGCCAACCAATGCTGTGTGTCCTGCTTGTGGAAAGCTGGAGTAAAACTCGGTCGAGCTAACATGATGAAACCTTTTGTTATGAATAATATATTACACTTCCTTTGGCATACTTATCAAACACCCTTGGAAAAACAGATCTTGACTATCCGTGTGCCAAAGCAATACAATTTTCAACATCCATCTACTGGAAAGTACAGCAGAAGTATGAAAGCAGTTTCAGCAGTCGGTATGCTTTCAGGAAGCGATTAAAGCTTACAATGTGGAAATTGATCCGTACAATGACACTGCCATCATACTTATCGATCATCTAACGAAAGTAACATTTGACGCTTTCGAGGCTGGAATCAGACCGAGCGGTACGTGGATTGAAAACTAGGCGTTCCACTAGAACCTCTCAATACAGTACAGTGAACAGACAGTACAGTTCCTCACACGTTTTACGGTCCCTGTAGGAAGCAGGAATTTGAGAGTTCTTTTGTTGTCTAGTTTTCAGATCTCTACAACAATTCGTTTCGCTCCAAGTGGAACCTAGCGTCATCACTCTTCTTCACCACAACCGTACTCACATCTATAGGTAAGACATATTGGGTGTCTTATACGCTTGGGCACTTTCTTCCCATATTTTCCCAACTAAGTTAGCAGTTTCACTGTTTTGAAGCAATTTCTACGCTTTCTAACAATAAGACACTTTCTTCGTTTCTTGTCGCAGTGCCGCCGTTTCCATAGTGAAAAAGACCGCTTGCCATCTTGAGGAGGGGAGTTTCGCCGCTACTTGCCAGGTGAAAACTTCACTTCAAAGACAGTTGGCACGATAAACCTCCAAGACATGTACGACTAACACGCCTGGCAGGACTGAATTCGGCGCCCCTGAGCAGGCGCTGCGTATCGCTTTTTCAAGGAAGGTGCCCTTATAGCGCGCTATCAAGCTGCAACATACTATCCCGGAGCCTATCGCACCCGCCGCCCACAACTATCCGAACAATCCTGATGCTTATCTCCTCATTTGCGTAGTAAAATGAGGTGAGGGGATTGATATGAATCGGTTGGATATATGAGTACATACGTGCAGCCGTATCTACCCTAGCGGTTATTGGCACTATGCTGTGGAAAACTCGTCCGAAATGCTTTCTGAGTCATGTGGAACAAAGGCATTTTTGCAGGTTTTTGCCCGTTTCACTTCGTTCTTTCGCCATTTCCCGCTATTTAGCACCCGTGCTACCATTTTAGACAGAGTACCTAATTATCGTGTCAGCTACCTCAAACTGACCAAACTGAAAATAGCTAGTCCAGAGGAAACTGGAGGCAATGCGTAGACTTGGAATTACTTATGAAAAAAAGATTTCCCCTGATTTAGTTTGCCCATTTGGTAAAAACCGATGTTGCCGTTTTGAAAGATGGCCACTTGGCTTTGGACCCAATAGCATAGTCTGGGAATCGTTCTGCGCATGCAAAATATTGTAAAAAGAGCTAAAAACTCTGTAGTCTCCGAATGTTCAACGGCTACTTCGTGACCATGGAGCAATGAATAAAGAAGGCTCACGAGGTGCAATAAAGGACAGGCATGAGCCGTCATGGAGAAATTGTTGCAGTCCGAAGAAGAAAAAAAACTTCCAGTAATTAATCCCAGCAGCAACGACCAAAAAGCCGACTCAGGAGCATCCAAGAGGAAGTTTCACTATGTGGAGACTGACTGCACTGGTTAGAACGGAAAATCCACACCAGGCACTGAGCATCATTTCTGACGCTAGATTGAGAACCAATATTCAGCCTATCAATAGGCCAACTTCAGACAAAGCAATCTGCAGGTGTCTTCTAACCTTACTGCAACGCGCTCATAGGGGAATATCGGCAATGGAGTACATTGGTTCAACGTCCCGGGCTATGCCAACAGAGGCCAATCTCTTCCAACAGCCCAGACCCGAATTCACTTGATTTTCGTTTGTGAGGTGATGAGGGAGAGAAATTTAAGGGAAACCATTATTCTGGGCTCTCACTGACATGAGCACACGGCGCAGTTCGTCGACGGGAGCATTTTTCATTTTTGCTTCTCCCCATCGACGTGCCCAGCCATCAAGAGAACTATTTCATAACAGGTTTCATCATGGTAGCTCGACGAGTTTGCTCCAGCTTCACAAGAGTTCACCAGCACTTGGTTGGGAATCCCCATGGGTAGGGAGGTCGTATTTGGCCCCAGAGAGGGGGGTCGTATATGAGTCGAGCCAGTATCGAGCAGCAGGCCAAACTGTCTACAGGTGCGGAATCCTGATTGTACCTGACTTGCTTCGTAGAGAACTCGGATATGTAAAAAAATAGTACAAAACTTTCATCCATCAAACTAATCCGAAATAATTGGAATTATTAATAAGTCGACAACATCTCGTAAGTGATTAAACACTACAACTCATACTCTGGTTTGCTGCGGATGATGGGGCGTGTGTCGCGATCACGCTTTGCCGGCTGAGCTCACCTTCGTTTTTTTTTCTGACAAACGACAGACACCATATCGTTCACGTACAACGTTTCACACTTGTCTCCTTTATCGGAATCAGCAACTATCGGAGCACAGATCTGCGGCGTCGACACGGACACGCTACATCATCCGCAAGGGAAAACACTGTAGACAAGTGCACAGGTTCGCCATGGACCTCCCTGAATCCTACAGACACATTTGCTCGCGTGGACACACATTATGCACAAGTTGCACCATCCCATCACTTCTGCGCGGACCTCAGTGCGCGGCGCATACAAAGTCAGCGTGTGCATCGGCACTAAACCCAACCATAGCCTGCGCCTTGCCTCCACACAGGATACTTCTACTATGCGTTCACTGCGCTTATCGAACACGCTCACTTGAAACGGTGCACAGGAAACGGGTTTTTCGCGCGGCTGGGAGTGCTCCCTAAGAAATCCCCATCGCGAGATCTCATGAATCCCGAGAGCTTCAGGAACAGTTCAATAGGTTTTTAGAAAGAGAAAATCTTGAGAGCGGATCGTTCTCAGATTTGTGAAATGTTGAGTTACAAAAAAAATATATTGATTCAAACCTGTTCAACTTGAACTTCAACCCTTCACTCCCCAACGAATCCCTATGGCAGCTTTCTCTGTGATTTTCGCGACCTTCATAAACATTTTAGTACTTTCAGGAAGACCAAACCTTCTAATTTACCAATGACGCTTCCTGCTCCCGCACAGTCCGCTTTTGAGCGAATTATGGCGTCTCAAAAGACACTCCTACTTTTGGACTGAAATTCTCGCTCCATGGCTAATATAGCCCGTTGCCCAGTCACGGCTCGCACTTACGTAGCATCCGCATCTCGCTACCGACTCACACTCAGGGGTTAATGCATTTTAGGCGTATTTCTTTTTTGTTTTCTTTTTCTGTTATACCGCTTTTTGTTTTTTGGTTTTAATCATAGTCTCATTTAACTCGCATTTATGCTGTGTGTATGCTACTCGAGTTTTGATCAAACGCTTTACATAAGCTAAATACAAGTCAATTTAGTAGGCTTGTTATATCTATTTTTATATCTAATTTTTATATCTCCATTTCCAGGAATTTATCGTGACGTCAAAGCATAAAAGGGGGGGGGGGTCGCTACGACCCCCAAAAGGGGGGGGGGGTTCGTACAGCCTGTACCAAAATCCCAATGAATGCTGTGCCCTGTTACAAGAGTTCAAATGTTTTACAAGTGTACCATAAAACCGGAACCAGTGGAGCAGTGAAAGTGCACACTCCCCTCCGTCTCCGAACAGCGCCTGAACACATCGTCTGAACCGATTTGGAATTGGACTACCTGCGGCGCGCTCTTAATTCAGACGCGTCGCATTTGATTTCCTGTGTCGTGGCTAACGGCGGACACCCCAGATGTTCCAAGCAAAATTTGTTACTTACAAGGGAGGTCAATCAGGGCCTTGTGCGGCTTTTGAAAAAGGTCATTTGCATTGTAGGGGCTCATACAACGACTCGAAAAGTGAGCTTCATTTTCGCTGCGCGCCTCCAGGAAAGAAAAAAAGGGTGGAAAAGAATTCTCTGTAAACTGCTTCCTTTTGGGCTTATGCGCTGTAAACCACTTACAATTTTGACCGCCTGCGAAGCGGAGGGTTCCAGAGCAACTGCTGGAATCAAGATGAGAGCAGACGTAAATGGGGCCTTATTTTTGTCAGGTGCCAGCACTAAGCGATAGTTTCATCAACCATCGGGGCATGGCTGCAACGACCGCATGGCCTATTGGATAACATAGAGGAATCTCGCCTTTTCACCGTTTGTAAAAAGCGCACCCCGAACTGAACAACCCCCTTTTTAGGTTCCAGCAGTATTTCCAGTGGAGGATACGTCAGAAAGAAGCGCATTTTCCAAAGGGGATAGGGCACCCATACTTTCAAGCCACCCCGTAGTTGAAAAGCTCTAGCGCTGTGAACACCCTTTGGCTCGCTCTTTATTTTACATTCACTCAGTAAAACTGTTGCTTTGTAATGAGTAGAAAGAAATCTATGGATCATCGTTGTTATCCTTGTTTCTTCGGCGTCTTCGCACAACTGCTGCAGAGGGCTTTGTCGTTCCGCATGAACCCTGGAAATAATGGCACTACATAACTAACAGGTCAGCAACTAAATGAAGTCTAAAGAAACCTGAGAAAACACACATTCATGAACTTTTCGCACGTAATCGGGTACAACGTCACCGTGGTGCTGGTCTTTGTTGGCTCTCACGTTCTCATCTCGGTCCTCTGAAATTCGAAAATGATCAAAAAAATGAGGGAAAGTAGGAAAGTCTGCAGTTTCAAATTTGGAAGTAAAGTGATTACGATAGCTGCAGAAAATTCTTTTGGGGAACCGTAACCAGGACACGCCCTGCCGCTGGGAAAAATTTTCGGTGAATGCAACCTCCCATCCCCTAATACCCTCCTCAGATACGGTCACCTCTCCCAACAATGAACGAACACGACCACCCTCATACGTCCGTGAACAAAGACAGATCAACTACCAAGGGAAATTATCTCAGACCGATAACGCACACCCCCCCCCTCTCCCCCTGGCACCAAATACGACCTCCCCGCTGAGAGTTCCCTATACGACGTGATGTGATCGTGGCTTGTTCGATGTGGCCACTTACGGATGCCCATGAATGCGTCAGTGTTCCTCAGCTTCTCAGACGAGGCTAGTACCAATCTATCAGGTGGAAAGCTTGCATAGTCCTAGCAAGAGGCAATCTGGCGTTGGACCTCTGGACCGTTGGCATGTTATGCGACGCCACTTGTCACTGTATCACATTTCCCACGTTTGAAGTAACAGACAGAAACATACGACGTTTACTGTACTACTTCTTGATGACCGAGATAGGGTACTTCGTAAAGCGCGTGCTGGCGTGACAGCTTTGATACGAGGATAGGCCGCAGGGCAGATCAGTAACAGGAATAGACAAACCTCGATCCATTAGTAACTAGGAGCAAATGAGGGTGTCTTGCTTTCATTGCAAAGAATTGCTACGGGATAAGCGTGATATGGCTCTCTATCTGCTCATCGGCTATTTCAAAACAATTCCTTTTACAACTATCTGAAACTAGCTATGAGTTTGGCGACTCCACTCTTCTATAGTCTCTTATAGAATCGTATTAGCTGCTGGGTTCCGGAAGACAGGCAGAACAGACATAGCAAACTAGGGATTTTGCAGTGAAATTCGAACGAATGAGCAGGGTAGAAATCAGTAAGATGCGATCTCCCCAGATGAAAGTCCCACAGCAATGTACGCTGATAGGGTGTGAACCAGGAATGTAGCCTTATTATCATGATTTGTGCCAGTGAAAGTGCTCCATCGTTTTCAACTCGAAATAGCTGCTCAAAAGGCGCGACTGGTAATGTGAACAATAATGCACAAGGTATGACCTTCAGGCTCGAACAGTTCGTTTTCTAGCTGTTCCGTTTGTGCAATATGGTCAACAATTTTGACCCGGAACATCAGCACTTGCTCTCTAGAACTTTTTTTTTACTCTATCCAGTCTGGGCCGAGCTGGAGCGCAACGGGATCGCTAAAAAAATCGCTGAGAGAAGAACCACTCTCTAGGGCTTCTTGTGCGACCGATGAGTGTGCCTAGTGTGCGTATCGAAATTTGGAGTGCTCAGTGTAGCGGATTTTTTTCCTACACACGACAAGGAATAGCAAAAAAAGCTCGCTTTCCATTGTGTGCAAACGTTGAAATCGAAGACGACTGGTCGAATGGGTCGTCGTAGAAATAACTGGCACCACGGGATAGGTTTTACCTCTGTGACTGGTGGTAAGGGTAAACCTTGGCTTATTCTGGCTCTACCAGCCCATCCTTAACTTGACTTTGTTGAAGTGATAGGTGATCTACGGCAGAACTCATGAACGTTATGAAGAAAGGTGAACAGAAGTGTTACCCCCAAACTTCAAAAACTTATTAAATCAAAACCAGCTCCCTATCAAGCCCTACTTGCACCACAGTGGCTTTCATTCATAAATGAGTATTCTGCTAGGTTTTTTTTTGCTTTACTCTCTTTTGAGGCACACTATTACAGTGTAAATTGAATAAATAAATAAACCGTGTTTAGCGGAGAAACCGATGTATATGTAGACGTGGCCACCCCTACCACGTTTATGTACCTAAAGGCAAGTTGGTGATTATAGATTGTGCAGAGTGGTGTTCAGTCACAAATATGGAGTCGCTCGATGACTCTCCGAGAAAAAGAGTTCGTTTCGTGGCAGCAAAAAGATATCTTGCCCCGTCTAGCTCAGTAATCGTTTATTCGTGCCATCCAGTGCTAATGCCAAACGAGAAGAAAAAAGAAAAAATAATGTAAAAATCGAACTCGCGGTAAAAATAGCCTCTGAGTTTCGGTGGGCGGAACAACTAGGGAGGCGTCAGTACTGCCACTTGTTAAGGCCACAGCGCCTTTGTTTCTTACTACTGTGAAGTGCGAATAGGATAATCTTAGAGTATGAAGACACACTACTTGTGCAAGTGAGAACGCCTACGAATTATTTGAGCGCGGACGATCTTTGCTATAGAGGGTAATATACAAGTAAAGTAATCTTAGCTCGTTCCATGTAACGTATGGGTGTTATCTCGATGTTGTTCCAAAAATGCTGGATTATGAGCAAAAATTTGACCCTAGACGGACTCAAACCTGGATTCAAGGTCTAATGTTCTCGCCATTACACCTTCAGAGTCCAGTTCAACCAGAGGTGGGAAAGAACGTAAATGAGTCTTGCTTATTACATACAACTACATTTTCTTTGTAAACGAAGCATCGCTCAACATCCTGCAAGAACCTTAATGTCGCGATATGAAAGGCCTCACTCATGTACCTTCAAAGATTGTAGGGATGGTGGGAATACGGTAGCTGGGTGAGCAGTATCAAACAAGGATCATGGTCGGAAAGCGGAGTACTGTGGCCGAACAACAGCATTTCTCATTTTGTTTAATATGCAGACGCTACGGCCTTTAAGACAGTGCGCGAAATGTCGAACTAACGAAAAGGACCCGTGAAGTGACTCATCGGAGGGACTCCAGTGACACATCCTAGCGAAAAATGTCTCTTTTTTTTGCAGCAATATTGTTGGTCACCTCTCCACAGGCGGCCACAAATAGTCCTGTCAGGGCGGATTTTTTTGGAGGAATGCACGAAGGGGTGTCTCGCACTGATTATCCAGCGAAAAACTTCTTCAATGAACGCAGCACTCTCTTATAAAAAATGAAATCTAAAGCGTCAGGTATAAATACCATACATGACCTAATTCTGGGCTGCACCAGTTTTCTAACATTCTCCAACTACCGCACCCTAACCCCTTCGCCAAAATTGGGGAACAACACTGCCGCACTGTCCTTTTTTGAATATTTTCTACCTACTTGCCTTTTTTTGGAGCGATCGCTGCAGAAACAAGGGCGAAGCACAATAGGCCGAATCTGATCATATCCTGAAGCAGAAGAATCGATGCCTCAGGAGATAGAATTTTCGGGAAAAGTGCAAGAAAATGCGCTTCAGCAGCGAACGCTGCGGATCAGCAGCCCTTTGCGAATCGCTAAAGCAATCGGTTGGTCCTGTCCACGTCATTTTAGGCTTCCACTTCAAATCTCAATTGATCCCAGGGCCTCATTCTCCACAGTAGCCCGTTGCACATCAGCCTTAACGAAAGGAGGATGCTCTCTACATATGCCCTACATAACGAAATTAAGAAAGGAAAGCTGAATCAGATCAAGTCAAAGGGCCTTAATGTCAGCAGTGACGAAGCGTCGCTACGGCTGTCTCACCTCTCCGTGACATGATGAGTCTCACTTTTTCTGGTCACACCCAGCTCCTTTCACGACGCATTTAGTGCTTAGATGCGGTGCGAAACAATAGCGCAACACTGGGCATTGTCCCCCGGGGCGCAGCATCTGCATCGGGCCCATACAAAGGGAGGCTACCTGTCCTATAACTAGTTTTGAGTGGTGTTCAATGAAATTAGCAGTAGAGAAAGCGCCAATAGGATATTACTTCAGTAAGGCAGCACTCCATGTTTCACAAGGGGACCACCGCAGAGAATGGGATGTTAAAGTTTAGCTCAGCAGTTAAATCTTAAATTATGCCGTAGCCTTTGCCCAGTTAAGGACCAACCCAACTGGAAGTTTGTCAAAACAGCGAGTGGGTACATGGTATCCCTCCCAGGCTAGCACACATTAGAGAGCTTATCCTAATGAAGTCTGACCAGTCTTCTATGCAGCTCCTTACTATCATTACCATGTATTCCTTAGGCGTGCTCGTGAGGAGCTTTTCTAGTATTTGGTATAGTAATTAATGTATTGAAGTAAAAAGTGATGAGTGACAATTCAGATAACGAAGAAGCTGTAAGACGTGATCAAGTGATTTGAATGGGGAACTCGGGGTTGTTGTAAGCAGAAAGAACTTTTTCAAAGGAGGACTCCGGAGAGAATTTTGTTGAGTGGAAGCGAATTATAGCATAAGATGACCACCCAGGAAAGTCTATCAGAATCCGTCGGTCTTTTTTCGTGACGGCTTAGATCATACGGTAAACAGCTCTGCGCAGAGTATCCAAACAAGTCAAGTCGGCTTTGAAGGAGTGGTTTGCAGCCTGCGCCTTTCTTGGTCCTTATTTGCTTGAATTGAAGAAAAACACTTGCAAAAACTAGACGACGGTCTCAAATTTTGAAAGTGACTAGCACCACGCTGCATACTCCCACAACCAGCCGAACCTTGAGGTTGTAGAAGTGATGGATACAGTGGCAATGTTCGTCTCCAGCTGCTGGCATCGTCGCTGCGGTAAAGGAGTAGTTGGCAGGTTAATGGTCATTCGAAAAGACTGAATTGGAAGAAGGACTATGAAATTAGTCAAAACAAAGACTCGAAGTA